GGAGAGGCTCATCCCACGACCACCTAATCCCAGGATCACTTTATCCCAGGATCACCTAATTCCAGGGAGAGGCTCATCCCAGGATCACCTCATTCCAGGAGAACCCCATTCCAAGGAGAGGCTCATCCCGGGATCACTTCAATCCAGGTGAACCCCATTCCAGGAGCACCTCATCCCGGGATCAGTTCATTCCAGGATCACCTAATCCCAGGGAGAGGCTCATCCCGGGATCACCTAATCCCAGGATCACTGAATTCCAGGGAGAGGCTCATCCCAGGATCACCTCATTCCAGGAGAACCCCATTCCAGGGAGAGGCTCATCCCAGGATCACTTCAATCCAGGTGAACCCCATTCCAGGAGCACCTCATCCCGGGATCAGTTCATTCCAGGATCACCTAATCCCAGGATAAACTCATCCCAGGATCACCCAGGAGAGGCTCATCCCGGGATCACCTCATTCCAGGATAAGCTCATCCCGGGATCACCTCATTCCAGGAGAAGCCCATTCCAGGAGCAGCCAATCCCGGGATTGCCATGGCTGATCCCTCTGGGACGTGGGAGGGGATCCCTCTGGATGAGCCGGGCCTGGATAACGCGGCGGGGGAGGAATTCCTGCGGGAAGTGTTCCAGGTGCTGCTGGAGGAGGGGGTCAGGAACGGCACCGACGTCACCCAGAAGGTGGGACCCCCAGCCCACCCCAGCCCGGGCCCAGTCCCAGTCCTTCCCAGTCATTCCCAGTCCCAATCCCAGTCATTCCCAGTCCTGTTCCCGGTCATTCCCAGTCCCATTCCTGGTCATCCCAGTCATTCCCAGTTCCAATCCCAGTCAGTCCCAGTCATTCCCAGTCCCATTCCCAGTCATTCCCAGTCCCATTCCTGGTCATTCCCAGTCCCATTCCCAGTCATTCCCAGTCCCATTCCTGGTCATTCCCAGTCATTCCCAGTCATTCCCAGTCCCATTCCCACAGGTGTGACTGGAAGGGGCCCCTCGGGAAGGGAGGGTTCCCCGATCCTGCTCCATCCCCATTCCCATCCCATTCCCATTATTCCAGGTGTGTGTGTGGAAGGACAGGGGTCCCATTCCCATCCCATTCCCATTCTCATTCCCATCCCATTATTCCAGGTGTGTGTAAGGAGCCACAGGACAGGGCTTCCATTCCCATTCTCATTCTCATTCCCATTCCCATTCCCACCCCATTCCCGCTATTCCAGGTGTGTGTGTGGAAGGACAGGGCTCCCATTCCCATCTCATCCCGTTTTTCCAGGTGTGTGTGTGTGGAAGGAGCCCCAGGATGGGGGTCCCATTCCCATCCCCATTCCCATCCCATCCCATCCCATCCCATCCCCATTCCCATTATTCCAGGTGTGTGTGTGTCAGGATGGGGTTCCCATCCCCATTCCCATCCCATTCCCATCCCATCCCATTCCTGTTTTTCCAGGTGTGTGTGTGGAAGGACAGGGGTCTCATTCCCATTCCCATTCCCATTCCCACCCCATTCCCGTTTTTCCAGGTGTGTGTGTGGAAGGAGCCCCAGGACAGGACTCCCATTCCCATCCCCATTCCCACCCCATTCCCATCATTCCAGGTGTGTGTGTGGAAGGATGGGGTTCCCATCCCCATTCCCATTCCCATCCCATCCAATCCCATTCCCGTTTTTCCAGGTGTGTGTGTGGAAGGAGCCCCAGGACAGGGCTCCCATTCCCACCCCATTCCCATTATTCCAGGTGTGTGTGTGGAAGGACAGGGCTCCCATTCCCATCCCCATTCCCACCCCATTCCCATTATTCCAGGTGTGTGTGTGGAAGGACAGGGGTCTCATTCCCATTCCCATCATTCCAGGTGTGTGTGTGGAAGGAGCCCCAGGACAGGACTCCCATTCCCACCCCATTCCCATTATTCCAGGTGTGTGTGTGGAAGGACAGGGGTCTCATTCCCATTCCCATTCCCATTCCCATCCCACCCCATTCCCATTCCCGTTTTTCCAGGTGTGTGTGTGGAAGGAGCCGCAGGAGCTGC